AATTATGATATGTAAGGTTGATCAATTTTAGTTTTATTCATATTATATGTAATTGTTATTTAAAATCAATATAAATCGATGTAGATTTTTTTCACATCCAAAATTTATAATGTGTGTGTGTGTATATATATATATATATATATATATATATCAATATTTGAAAAAAAATCGCAGCAACAGTCGTCGTGGCGCGACATGACTTAAGATTTGTGTCTCACGCCACGTTATACCTGTGGCACGCCATGACCTAATGCGCGGTTTTTATAACGCATGATTTGATTTTTCTTACTTTTTTAAGGTGATGTTTGTTAGTTTCTAATGTATAACCTAGTTTCAACTGAGAATTGATATATGAACATTATTTTGATACGAAGTATGCCATAGCCTTATATTCGGACTCTGGATCAGACTCTAAGATGATATTTTGTTTTTTACCCATAAAGAGATCGGAGTTAATGGTGGATTTCTATTGGAGTTGTGCTTTTGACAATCTCCTTGTTTAAAAGCCTCCCTTATTGAACCACGTTCTTTGCTCAATTGATCCTTCCTTTTTCTCTCTTTGTCGTTGTACTTGTACACATCACACAGAATTAAAGTTACAATGGTAGTGTCTCTGAAAATTTTCACGCTTTGTTTATTGCTGGTTTTTATGTGTTACGTTTCTAGCAATGCTGTTTCAAGGTACTTGATATAATGTGGAAGCATTTCACTTAAAAACACAAGTTTTTGTTGTGTTCTTTTATACTCAATTTACTAGCTTTATTTGCAAAACTAATGTGTTTGAATCCTTTGAATCATGTTAGGAGGTTTTTGTAACTCCTCTGTGTTAACTATAGAAAACCACAACCACCCCCTTTTGGTTTCTAATCCTCTTGTAGCTCGTTATAATGATTACGATGAAAAAGTACGAAAGAACACAGGGAGATGATAGTGTGGGTGTTGAAGGAAAGCAGTGGTTCATCGATGGAGATGGGGGGTTCCTTTGTTTCTTTAAATACTTTATACATTTGTACACAAGTTTTAACACTTGCATAACAAAAATCAATTATAAAAATATAGAAAATGACATATATGCCCTCATGCACTAGGCACATGGCATATGGATGCATAACATAAGAAAGTTAACAAACATTAGGGTAAGAGACGGTGGATGTAAGCAAATGAAAATAGTGGGGGTTCTGATATAATTTCAAAACTTGAGTGTCAAATCCCAGTTTTGATCTAAAAACTGTGTGCGACATCCTATCTAGCACAGTGCGACCACATGTCCATCTCAACATCATCATTTATGCAACTTCTTGTTTCTCAACTTGGAGCCTAAAGAAGGATGGTTGATGAAATGGTCTAAAATAAATATGATGTATTTGGAATTTGGTAGTAAATGGGAGCTTTAGATTGTGTAACTTTTCAAACTTCGTGGGAAAGGTGAAGGATCGTGTGAGAAAGAGAGTTAAGGTGAGAAGCGTAAGAAAAGATCTAGATCATTGATCACATTTAATCTCAAACCCATCCATGAATCGCGCTTGATATGGGGATTGATCTGGTGCATCTCGGTGCATCTCATGCTAATGTGCATCCAAGGATGAAGATCTCTTCTTACGCTTCTCACCTTAATTTTCCTTCTCACCGGAACCTAACCCTAGTGATAAAATACTAATTTAACCCTCGTAATGTGTATGTGTGTGTGTATATATATATATACACACACACACCCCTACTTGGATATATATTATAGGGAGGTTCGAGGGAACTCCCCAAAAAATTAAAAAGTTGAGGAACACTCTGGTAACTATTTATCTGGATGGTATACACATGTACATACAAGTAATTGAAGTTGCCTCAATGATCAACTTCACTTTTCGATTTGCACATAAGTTGAAAATGATCGTATCATAAGTTGGACGATATACAAATATTTGTATAGGAGACGAAAGGGATATAGACTACCCTGAGATATTGATGCTTTGACTAAACCACCAAAAGTCGTTGCCTTTCATGTCTATAATATTGTCAGCTTTCGGAACCTGCATAATGGACCACATTCAAATCAATAACTCCTCCCAATCATGTAACTCTACCAAGAAGCTAAGCCATGTCGTCTCATACAAATGAAATACTAAATGGTAGAAGATATAAGACCGAAGGAGTTGGAAGTGCTACAATGAACAACTTCACCTTTCCATTTGCACATAAGCTGAAAATGATAGTATCATATGGCCCAAAAAGACCACAGCTTATGGCAAAATCATGGAAACCGTTAAAAAATAAAAAATTTATGTTTGAACAAAACATACATAACAGTGGCTCAAAAAAACATAAGCTTGCAATCATGGACACCGTTAAAAAAATCAGAAAATTATGTTTGAACAAAACAAAAATAAGACAAAAGCTCATGGCAGAATCATGGAAACCGTTAAATATCATAAATTTATCTTTAAGTTAAAATGATCTGTACATACCCGTTATGCGAGCCGACTAATTCCAGGGCGACCATCTGCTTTGCAGATAGCCCGGAGTCATCGCATTTGAACCTTTGTGGCCACAAGGGGATTTTATTCCTCCTTGGATTTAAACATGGGACCTCCTGGTACTTTTGACCTTTGGAGCCAAGCTAAAACCAATTAGACACCACCCTTGTGGCTTGATCTGTACATTTTAACTCATGGTATATTGTTTGATTTTGCTAATTTTTAAGTTAAAATGGTGTGTACTTTTTTTTAACTTGGAAATGGTGTGAATTGTTTTTTACTTCTCCAAGTAATTAGCAACTTACTCAGATCATGTGATTTGTATTAAGTTGTCTTCAAGCATCTTCTGTATCCGAAATAAATTCAAAGAAGAATGATATGAATCCAAACAAAAAATGTCATAAGATTGAATCCATACGAAGATAGATAGATAGCAAACCATACAAATGCCACTCTGTACGAGAAATTATAAGACTTGATACTTTAAGTTTATGATCCAGGAGCAATGCTCCTTAAGCACACCCCTCTTTTGCCATATCCTTCTGTCAAAGCACAACCCTGATTACATGATTTGGTCAGTTGTGTACCTTTGCATAGTAACTGCAACTACAATCAGCTATAAAAGAATAGGCGCTTACCTATTGAAGATATGAAATTACTTTTTCCACTTTTCTGAAAAATCAAATACCACAATGTCTATCTGCTTCGACTAAAAGAAAATGAACCTCTTTCAATTAATTTGCCTAAGACGAAAAAGATTGGAGATTGAGCAACAGAATACGGTGGATTTTCAGTGTAAGATTCTCTAGAGTCGACAGTCGAGGGGAGTGGTCGAGTACTTGTAAAAGACAAACACCTTATTGCCAAATAATGAGTTGCATACTTGGATTTGAAGAATAGTAGTGCTGTAGGGGTTCGAGTGCCAGAGATTACACAGCTCGATCCCATGGTTGGGTACTTAGGTTAAAAATCTAATCATCGGGTTTACATTGAGCATCAAAGACACAACAATCCAACAAGAGAGGGTTGGTGGTATGGAAACTTGAGGAGGAGATCGAATGTAGAGATGGAGATGGAACTTGAACATTTCCATCGATACTATGATTAATAACATCTTGATGTGAAAGCCGTTAGATTTTCTCCACATCTGAGCAATCTGGGTGTCATCTCGTTCTCCTAACTCGATCTGGTGACAAGGAGATGTTGTACCAGAAGAACCGACTGAGAAGAGGAGCGGGACGTAGGAGAGAATTGAGGGTGGGAAGTCGAAAAGAAAGGGATCATGGGGTGGGCGGTTTCACACAACTTCAAAAACTTGTACGTAAAGCATGAGGAGATGTACATCATAAAGTTCAACACATAACCGTTTAGCATGCTTTATAATATAATATGAATAATAAATATATGTCTTATATAAATGTTCCAATGACTTTATAAAATATTTTTAGACGACTTATAAAACATTCTTAAAATAAAGTGTTACCATTAATTTTTTATGACATCTTTTTCAATCTTCCCTCTTTAAAGGGCACGTAAGTTAATACGTATTTACCCTTTTGCCCTTTGAAATGCACGTAACTACCATTTGCTACCCAAATTACTCATCGACTCATCCCTCATCGACGACCCACCTTACCTCCGGCTGGGCCCTCTGAACGACGTCGCCCCTGTCCGCATCGCATCACCGTCGCGCATTTGTCCGCCGCCCCTCTCTCGCTTCCGCATCGGCATCTGTTCCCCTCCGCCTCTCTGAACGACGCTAGATCGGTAATAGTTTCTTCACTTCTTGGCTCCTGCTAGTTGCTAACCGGTAGACTCTGATCCCCCTTTTCAATTTACTGTATTTTGTGAATTTGATCTTACCTAAACCTAAACCTAAACCTAAACCTAAACCCATATGGTTTATGGGATGAAGAAAACCTATTCTACTTGTTAGTTGTTACTTCAATTCAAGCAAAGAAACCATTAAAATTCTTCTGAAATTGAGTCCACTTGATCTTGCTTGGTCCAAAAACCTGCTTGAAAACCAAAATGCTACAAAGAAATTGAACCAATTTCCATATCTACAATTTGTTACTGCAATTCTCACCATTGATGCATCATTCCTGTTAATTGAGGATATTGTTTGACAGTTTGAGGGAGGCCAATAGTAGGGGAATAGCCATTGAATTTTTATGGGATTCAATAGGACCACCCTCAAGATAACCGTGGCTCCACCCTTTGACATAATGCAGTTGGAATTTGTCAATAAATGAATGCTGTTTGTGTAAAGCCTTAGGTGCTTATTATATATGTTGCTTTATTTAGGGGATTTTCAATCTCAATTTGCTGCAATCATCAACCTGATATTTCATGTGGCAGAATTTGTGATCTGTGATCATTCATAGTTTTTTGTTGATGTGCAAACCAGTTTGAATTCAAAGGTATCCTAGTTTTTTTAGCATATAATTGATTGCTTCCAGTTTCTTAGTATATAAGGTCATACCTGATACCAATGCAAAATAGAGGATCAATAAAACAGCCAAATTAAAACAAAAACACAAATTGAACACCTGAAAAATACTACTCGAATACATTTCACCATACCATTGTGTCACACTCTACTATGGTATCAATTTTCATGTTGCTCTCATTTACTGTTGGAGCTAAACTGATCTCATGTGGGGGAAACATTCATATAGGAGAAACCATAATTAAAAGTAATTAATTAAGTGGGTAGAATGAGACCTATCATAGATTTGGAACATAAAATTTCATGACAAAACCAATGAATGCAAGTTATTATCTTTCATAAGAATAAGTGCTTCCACTTAGTATATGTATAAAGATACATATATGATGTATATACATTTGATCTTTTAACATATGTTACCTTTTGATGTCGAGAACTTTATGTCGTTTATAGTTAGACATTGTTTCAAATGATCAAATCTGTCTGAGGTGATGATGTGCTCATTCAATATTTTTGTGCCTGTGCTAAAGTCTTATATTACGCCTGTTTGGTTGCATTTGTCATGAGGGTGTCTTTGTCTATTAAATTGGGTGAAACTACTTGTAAATTTATAAGCTAACGCGACATAAATACTTATCTTTTTTATGTCGTAATAAAGTTCTCTCTGGCCTTGCTACACAAATCCAAGTAGCTTTGGCAATACTGTTTAGCATATAAGTTGTTTTGGAACTTTCCAACAAAATCTGTGATACTGTATCTAGTGATCAACATTATTGGGTACATATCTTTGAGGAGTTTTGACTCTATATTTTCACAAGCTAGGGGTCTTCATGGAAACAGCCACTCCCAACCCTACTTTCGAGTGGGATACACTGGAGCTTTTTGGTTTGATTTACAGTATAAATAGTGAATACTCCCAGTGTCTGGCCATTAAAGAGTTCTTCCTATGTCCCGCAAGTTGGTCCTTGAAAGTTTAGAATGTTATTCCATGAAGTGGGAACTTGTCCTTGAGCCTTGTGGATCATGTGAAGGTGATCGTTTAGTTATAGAGAGAAACCAATATCCCTGAGCAATTATAGATCATCTTAATTCTAATTTTAAGCTAATAACGAATCATTGTATATTATCATTACGCTATATCAATTATTCTTTAAGTAATTCAAAAATTAAGGTTCTTTTATTATTCGGAACATTTATCGAACAAATTATAGTCATAGAGGGTTAAAATAATAATTTTCTATAATTGAGACTGTTGATTCTACTTACATACTTGTTACCTGGTAAGAAGCTTTTATCCCAATAAAAAGTAGTGTTGTTTATTTGTCCAGCTTATGCTCTGCAACTGTATGCCTACTTTATCTTGTTGCCCATTTACCCTCATTCCTCTCTATTTCTCTTGTCATCAACTCTCCATTTCCATTGCCGTCAGCACATCAGTGTCTCTTTCTCAAGGCCCCGTCACTCTCCCTCCGTATATGATTTCATGTATGAACAATGCAATTTCATTTATCTGTTTGGCTTTTGATGATTTGGGTTTGTTTATTTTGGTGAGTAATTGATTCCTATTGCTTGAAATATGTTTTTGATTTATATGTTGTTTGATTGATGTGAAAAATTGTGTTTCAGTTATGGAAATTTCACTGTTCTCTTTGTTTTTTCCTTACCATATGAATTGGGATTTTGATTCTCTTTGTGTTTTGCCTACACTGTTCTAGTTAATGAAAGATATGTCTATCATCAATCATCATAGCTTTTTAGAGTTCCTTAGTTATGATGCCAAGTGTTTGTAAAAATGCCTGACTTGTCTTATTCTTCATCATCTTTATTAAGATATAATTTGGAAAAAAAAAATACAAACAGGCCCCAAGGAAGGATGAACAAACAACAACAATCAATGCTCCTTCAGTCGGCTTCTAGTTTCCCACCTCCAAAAGGTCTCATCTTTCTATCGAATCCATGACAAAAAAATTATTCTCCAATGTCAAAAAACTAACTGTCTTCAGTTTTCAATTCCGTTTCTGAAGGAACTAAGCTCTCTTATGGCACTGCTGGATTCAGAGCCGACGCATCGATCCTACAATCAACGGTATTTAGAATTGGAATACTTGCGGCATTGAGGTCATTAAAGACTGGCGGATCTGTGATTGGATTGATGATCACTGCTTCACACAACAAAGTCTCTGATAATGGCGTCAAAATTGCTGACCCAAGCGGTGGAATGGTAACTCAAGATTGGGAGCCATTTGCTGATTCTATTGCTAATGCCCCGGATCCTGAAAGTCTCATCCAGGTTTTTCTATGTTTTGTGTGGAAACATCTTTAAATTTCAAAAAATTTCTCACAATTAAGGTCAACCTGATTAGGTTGAAATACTTCGGCTAGTTTTCAAAATAAGATTTGGGTTTTTTTATTGTTTTTCTGCTTCAAATTGATCGAAAGAAGATCTTACAGAACTGTTTATATACTTTTTAGCAACTTCGCAACAACCATGGAAACAAAGTAACTTCAATGAATTGTATATCATGGAAGAAGCCATATGATCAAATTTCATCAATGGCTTAAAGCTCACCTGATTTGGTCCCTTGCATGTTTGAAGGAATTTGCAAGCATCATTTGCATTTTGCACCATGCAGAGACTGTTTCCATGGCTCATACTTTTACGTCTTAATCACAAAGGAGTAACATACCACATTACCATTGATCAAATACAGTATCAGGAAGTACAATTTGCAGAACCACAATATCCATTGGTGGCTCTCCGACCCTCGCCCCCATCTTCGGACACTTGATCCTTTAAATACTAAATACAAATAATAAATGTGGTGATAAGACTGAGGAAACCTCATCCAAATGTGAAGTCCTGCCCTCTGATGCATCCGTGGTAACTCGCTACTTAAATCACAAGTGTGAGATTCGAACTCGGAACCTCTAAGTTATCTAAGTAAGCTCCAAACACGTGACAAATCCTAGCTGGGCAGTGATGTACGAGTTTACCTTATTGTCTTAAGAGTTCTTCGTCTTTTAACAGAAAGAGAACAGAATTGTGTCAGTAGCTTCTGTATCAGGAGCAGCTTCTGAGGTGCATCTTTTATTGTGTTTTCTTATTTTATGTAAAATGATCTTCCAATTTACCAAGACACTGAGCTGTGTGAAATTGTGTTCTTTTTCGTTTTTTCTGTCCAGTCATGTTTGAAGCCTTTTGCAAGTTCCTCAACTTCAGTTTTTTTTCTAATTCTTAATACAGTTGATAAATGAATTTGCAAAGAAGGAAAATATACCACTTGATGGAGCAAAGGCAGCAACGGTGTTATTAGGAAGAGACACCAGGCCTAGCGGTGAATCTCTTGTCAAGGCTGCAAAGCATGTAAGACTACTCAAAATAATGTGTGCTAGATTGTATTACACTTGGATCTTTTTCAAAAAATAACTACATTATTTTCTTCAAAATTTGCACCTGGTTAATTCTAAATGCAAACCACAAATTAACACTACCTTTTTCAGCACTTATATGTTTGGAAAACCATCTCAATTATGTATTAGGATAGTAAGAAAAAAAGTGCAGTTCTTCTTTATAGAATAGAGGTCATAGCACTTCGTTCAGATATTTGGTTCGGATGACTGAACTGTGAAGTCTTGCTTCTTTTTAATATGAAATGTGTTTTTAATTACTTCCGAATATCATGTTTCTATTATGAACTGTCATTTAATTACTAAGCTACAGCTAGGCTCAGAAATGTTTGTCCATACTCCTCTATCCATGAAAAATTGCAACAATTTTTTCTCTAGAATGCCCCCATTGAAATTGCAACATTTTTTTCCTCAATAATTTTCATGTTAATTTGCATCTTGACCAGTTAGTAATGTTACAAATACATTGATGCTACTACTTTGGACTCATAATATTTCCTTATTCTGCCATCACTGAGGGGCATTTTATATACTTCTCAAAGAGTAATGCCTGGCAATTTTCATGGAACAGGAGTATCTCTTTCTCTTGCCATTGATAAACAGGATTAATTATAAATGTAGACACAATCATTTACTTTAATCTTGGATGCTTAATTCCAGGGAATCTGTTCAGTAGCTGGAGCTGTTGCAACTGATATGGGAATCGTCACAACTCCACAATTGCATTGGATGGTTCGTGCCAGAAACAAGGGCCTCAAAGCATCTGAGCTTGATTACTTTGAGCAGCTTTCCAGCTCTTTCAGGTTGGTTTTGAGTGGTTCCCAATGGCATAAAGAGACAAATTAACGGGTAGTTTTTTCTTTACTTTTCATTCTTTAATTCTATTACATTAGATGCTTGATAGATTTGATACCAAAGAAGAGTGGAGATAATAATCCAGTTGGGAAGTTGATTGTTGACTGTGCAAATGGAGTGGGTGGGGAGAAGCTTCAAGTTCTCAAAGAAAAGTTAAATGGGTTGCATTTAGAAATCCGTAATTCAGGTGAAAGTGGTATACTAAATGAAGGAGTTGGTGCTGATTATGTACAGAAAGAGAAGGTTGCTCCTGAGGGGTTTGGTCCTGCTGATGTTGGGATAAGGTGAGCCATCTTCCTTTTTTTAATGTCAGAAATCATATCAACTGTTATGAGGCAATTAACCAACACGGACCTGGTGTATACCTGTTTTCTAAAATTGAAAATATTCACTTGGGTGCAGCTTGAGTTGCTTTCTTTCAAGGGCTTGGCCTATTTCTTGTCGTTTTAAATTCTTGTTTCGTGACATCCAATACTTGCACAGCCAAAAAGAAAAGAAAAAGAACACTTAAAAACCTGGATATCTCTGATGTGCACATTTGTAAGAACATAAAATATTTACGCTACGACTGTCCAAAGAGTTTCAGCATTCTGTTTTCTACTTTTGTCCACTCTTATCCCTTTTATTTTCTTCTTCTTAAGTACTTGTCTCCTCTGTTTGTCTCCATTTTATGCCTCTTTGCATGTAATTTCTTGTTTTGATATCGGTATTTCTAGACTTGGCTTTTATGTGTTCATAGGATATATCATCCCAACCTAGTTCAACTTGTAAGTACTTCAATGAAATGCTTTGGTTCAACTTTGATGAAGTTTTTTTATTCAGCTATTTGTATGTTTTATCTTTTTACATACCCATGATATAATGTTGATTTGAGCAAATGGTAAATAAGAGTAGTGACTTCAATGGTTGTAGTGTTTCAGGTGTGCAAGTTTAGATGGAGATGCTGATCGTCTCGTATACTTTACAGTTATACCAAACGGAAACAACAAAATTGAACTGGTTGATGGGGACAAGATTTTGTCATTGTTTGCTTTATTTATCAAAGATCAGCTGAGTATTCTCGGTGATAAAAATGAATACCAACCCCGTGTTGGTGTTGTACAAACAGCTTATGCTAATGGTGCATCGACCAAATATCTAAACCAGTTGGGATTACAAGTCATATTTACACCCACTGGGGTGAAGTATTTGCATGGAAAAGCAGAAGAGTATGATATTGGTATCTATTTTGAAGCAAATGGTCACGGAACCATATTATTTTCGGAGCAATTTTTATATTGGTTAGAGGGTAGAAAGAACGATCCTTCTTCAACGGCAAAAGGTAACTCCTTTATTTTGAATTCGACTTCAACTACCCTACCTTTTGTTTGGGGTTATTTATCCAAATAGCTTCCTGCCAAGTGTTTTAGATTCACGACCTTCTGGAAGGTTTCTAGGCATTCATGTGCATGGAAGTGACATTCTTTTATTAAGTAGTAGTGGCATTCTTGAACCTACCAGAAGGTCTTTTAACGAAAGAATCCCTTTGTTTGTTACTTTAGACATTCATTGAAGGACAGAAGATGGTTGGTTTTGCAATTAAAATTGTTTGTTTTCTTGAGGTTTAGAAAAGCAGAATGCTGTTAAGAGGCTATGGGCAGTCACTAAGCTGATCAATCAAGCGGTGGGTGACGCCCTTAGCGGGTTGCTTTTGGTTGAAGCAATTTTACAACATATGGGATGGTCGGTCGATAAGTGGAATGAACTTTACCATGATCTACCAAGCAGACAACTTAAGGTCAGTCGAACTGTTACCATCCAGCATCCTTTTTTAGTATGGTGATGATGAACAAAAGAAATCTTTAGACATCACTAAACCAAACCCAACCCAACAAAATCCCACCTGAGGTGGGGTTTGGGATGGTAAGATGCACGCAGACTTAACCTCTACCTCTAAGGGTAAATGGTTGTTTGCTTCCCTAGCTTGTGAAAAGTGTGAGTAAGAGAGAAGCGAGGAACGATAAAGATTTGAAAAGCTGGTTAAGTGAAAGCAAAAACATACAAATAGAGGAAATTGCACACCTGTATTCTAACCAAGTACTTATTTGACGATTTCTCGAATAGTTTTTTACACCAATCAGATTAACCTTACGCATCAGTTTCTTTGCTCAAACCATGCATTTACCAAACAAACCCGGTATATTCTACACAAACATAGGGCCAAGGAAGGGTAGGATGTACGCACTCCTTACCTCTACCCCCAAAGAGGTAGTGTAGTTGTCTTGCTTCATTGAATGTTGGTTCTAAATTCAGTCATAAATCCCAGGTAAAAGTTGCGGATAGAAGTGCTGTGGTGACGAATTATGCAGAAACTAGTGTTGAGAAGCCCCCTGGCATTCAAGAAGCCATAAATGCGATAACTGGTAATTCACATATATAAATGAAAATGTGTTGTGACTTTGCGTGATTGGTGGACCAACAGATCTTTATGGTGTTTCAGAGTTGGGTGTTTCTATTCAATGATTATAAAAATGGGAGTTTATTTGCGCAGGAAAATACCCACAAGGCAGATGTTTTGTTAGACCATCGGGAACAGAGGACGTTGTGAGAGTTTACGCAGAGGCAAACACACAGGAGGCAGCAGACGAGCTCGCGACTCAAGTCGCAAAGCTTGTCGATCAGTTTCTTGGCTTCACTGCCTCTTAAACAAGTTGGTGAAGGCTTTTACATTTTTTGTACAATAAAAGACTTGTGTCTGCGGAGGTTTAAATGCGGCGACTCTAGGATATCTGCAATGCAGTTGGTCGTCTTGGGATTAGTCAGCTATAGTCGGCTAGCCATAACAGGTTGGATATCCAGGTTAATCGAAAAGTTGTTTGATCGTTTGCAATTTGAGCTACAACATTAACCATTTTTACTATTAATCTCTTGGCAGATTAATTTAAACTATGTGTTTTTTAAATTATTCAATAAAAAAATTGAACATGTGGATGGATGGATAAGAACATGATATAAAATAGCACCAAAATTAGGGTTTTTTCTAGGGTTTTTACGAAATTGTACATAAACAAAAGGACTCAACTTACAAGATCCATACTCAAAAAATACCATCTCCTATCTCCATCAAAACACCACGCGAAATTGAGGTGCATCAGATCCGCTGGCCGGCAGAATCTCCCAACGGCAGGGCTCGAAGTCGTCGGAAACGGGACAATATCCGGCAAGAGTAACCTTATCAGCCGAAACAGCAACAGAACCAAATTCGAAAACCGTGACGTCGACGTCTAGGGCAGGTCGTAACACCTCCACAGCACCATTCATGGCTGGAACTTCTTCCGCTGCTTTCTCCACCGACACAATAGCCTTGGAGTCGGTGGTTTTCACACCTGATGACGCAGAATCCTTGTTGCCTTTCCACCAAGAGAGAATCCCCATTTGCGATGATTACGAGGGTCTGCCGACTGCCAAGGAGAGATGATAGATAATAAGTAGATAGAGAGAGACCTCCATTTTCAAAAAAGACCTCAAACTAATAAATAAAAATACTTTTAGGCCCGTTAACGGATGGATAAGCCTGGCCCGTTTATGAGGCGGGTATGGACAAGTTTTCAAGCGTGTAAAAAGGATTTGTTTACCACATTAAGCTCATTAGATAAAAAAAAATAGGTTATGTTCCTCCGAACCCAGTCCAAGCCTGCAAATGATCATCTCTAGGGGTGCTCATGAGTTGGGTTGATCGGTTTGAAGACATTTGAACAACTCAACTCAATGCTTGTGGTTTGAGAAATCTTAACCCAACCCAACCCCAAGTGCAACCCAACCTAACCCAACTCGTACGGGTTAGTCGGGTTGATACTTTGGTACATTAAAGTATTCTTTTAACCTTGAATATGTTATTTTTCTATTCATAATTTCTTTTCATTATCAACCATTTGATATAACTTATCCATACTTGTTACGTATATCACATTGAGTTAGTTTTTTCAATTTACATATATATGTTCACAGTTACTAAAAATATATACAAATGAGTTATATAAAGATATGAATAGATTGAAAATATGTGTATATGAATAGTGCATGTGATAGTGTGATTGTTTAATATATATATTAATATAAATTTAACGATAATATTAAATCCAAGAAATAAAAGAACATCGGGTTGGGTTGGGTTCATATAATAGCAACCCAATTGGAAATTTTACAACTCGATTAGACATCGGGTTGCTTCGAGTTGAGTTATTTCGTGTTGGGTTAGTTGGGTTGATCGGGTTGGTCGGGTTTTTGAGCACCTCTGATCATCTCTACAAAAAGGTTCTAAGAAATTTAAAAAACAAAAACCCATTTAAGGAAAACCCAAAAAGATTGTTGATTACTCAAAATGCATAATAATCATCAAAGAAATTATGTGAACAAAAAAGAGAAACTAAGATCAAGTTTGATTTGTAGAATGTTTTTAGATGTAATAGAATATGTTAAAACGGATTTGACTTTAAAAGAATTAGGATGGAAAGTTGTCATGTTTGACCATCTGTTTGGTTAGCAGAATTGGAATGAAATCTATTAAAGGAATTAGAATCTGTATAACTTTAAAATCGAAATGAAATGTTGGTAAAAAAAATACATTTTTTTTTGGAATTTGATGGAATTTAAAGATTTCTTCCATGAAAAAGAAAGAACCAAACAATGAAATGGAATTTGGTCAAAGGAATATAACATTCCAATTCCAATTCCATCAGATTATGAACTGTGAACCAAAAATGAGTTTGGTGTGTATGTGTGTATCATTCTTATTAGTTCCAACAAGATATTGAGATTGAAACCTTCTGTCATCCCTATGTTTTAGTTCCAACAAGATATGCAGATGTTACTACTCAGTTTCTTGGTCCTAAAACATGTTGAAATTGATTATCCTCAGATGGGTGTTGTTGATAAACAATCCTCGATAAAACATCAAGTTTAGCAATTCAGATTCTTTTTTCATGAATAATCCAACACAAATAAGCTTAAAAATACAAATTCATTTACACCTCACAAACACGTTCAACTTCGTTTTTCCATGATCGACACTTTTTTCCTCCAAGATCCAACTTATGACAAAACAAAAGGCAAATTTGCATAGAAAAGAGCTATAAGAAGAACAATTTGTAGCATAGTAATAGAAAAACTATCAATTCAAAATTCAAACCCGTAAACGCACACTTGTTGAAAACGACCAATTATCACGGGAGGAGCCAGGATTTGTGATCAGGGTAGTCTTCGTAACGGTGTAACACGTGCACTTCATTGTCACCTTAAGCCTTTTAATTGTTTGTGTTATGCAACTACTCTCAAAGATCCAACATACAGATAACCAATAAGGTCTAGCTAAAACAAAACGTTTAGTTACTTTTATGGTTTTTATTGCAATTTGAATATACACTTAGGAGACGTCTGGTTCACATAATGGAATTCTGTGAAACTGTAATCCATCAAAAGAATTTGAGTTTGAAGAAACTGAAATGAATTTGATCAAGCATTTGGTTGGAATGGAATTGGAATATTTGGATATCCCATGGAATGGTTAAATCTTTAATCTTAAGAATTCAAAGGACTCCTAAATTTTCAATACGTGAACGAAACAGAGGAATTAGAATTTGGTCAAAAGAATTGACCATTCCAATTCCCTTGAAATCCTTTGAATTCAATGGACCAAACAACCCCTTATTGAAAACGACCTACCATCGTGGGAGGAGCCCGGATTTGTGATCCGTAACATGGGCATTTTTATTGTCACCTTAAGCATTGAGATTAAATGTAACAAATCAACACTTGCCATTGGGTTAAAGAAATACTAAAAGGTAACTTAACTGATGTAATGTTCTTTTCTGTTCAAACAATTAAGTTGAAGTTAACTCGGGACATTTTGTTTGATTGAATGGTTTTGAAGGATAATTTTTAATTCAATTTTAGTAATTAATTAATTAATTTATGTTTAATAATATTTTTTTTAAAGATAATAATTAAGTATTCTGTTAAAACTCAATAATTATCCTAAATATTCTATAGTTTTATATACTTAAAATGAAATTTTTATCTTATATTTTATTATGTTTACAAATTAGTTATATGAATTCAAATATATAGCTGTAATCTTGAACTTTAAGTAGTATGTATTATTAAACAATACTAATGCATTAAAAATGGTTTTTAAGAATTTAACCCAAATACTTTATAATATAGTATAGATTAAGTCTCTAAACTAATTTTTTAAATGAATAAACCATTAAACTTTCTCATTTGAATGATTAAGCCCCTAAATATTTTTTTTATTAAAATAAACAATCGACATGTTAGAAATTGGTCGTATACATTTTTAACTCAAAAAAACTAACAATAATTAAAAAAAAAAAACTTAAATCAGTTTTACCCTTTCCAAATCTTACATCATAAATACCCTTTATATCCAACGTCATCATTCCCTTTGGCGTCCCATCGTTGTCTGCTCTTTATCACCGTTGTTGGGCCCTTACCATCTCTCTCTCTCTATTTATCAGTTTTTTATTTTTATTTTTTTAATTTGTTCATACGTACTCTGTTAAATTAATAAATGGTTGGCATATAAAACGGACAACGTTACAGTGCGAGAAGGGAAACATCATTGGGTGTGAGGGTTTGAATGATATAAATGTATTTTTAAACATTTTATTTTATGTAACACATTTTAAAAATATTTTGTAAATTCTAATCAAATATTATATTTATCAATTATTTAACTGGATTTAATGGAAAAAGCTAACGGTTGTTAGACAAAAGGTAAGACTGTATACGAACCGAATGTTCAACGAACTTTATTGGCATGAATTTCGTTTATTTAATAAACGAATAAATATGAACACATTTCTTTTGCTTGTTTAATTAAATGAACAAACATGAATAATGACCTCGTTCGTTTACATTTGTTTATGTTTTATTTATATTCATTCGTTTATCTATACTATATTATAAAACATTTGACAAAAACTTTTAAAAACTATTTTTTATGCACGAAGTACTGTTTATTGATAGACATTACTTAAAATTAAAGATTATAAATAATTTTGCGTAAGTACAACTTATTAAAGTTTTATTTTTAAATTTGTGTAACTAACTACAAATAAACACAATCAAATAAAGGATAAACATTCATTTTAAATATAGAAAATCTAAAATATAATTACGATAATAATCGAGTTCTAACAAAATACTTAATTATTATCTTTATAAAAATTATATTATTAAACCAATATAAACAAAAAAAATTAAAGAAATACACAAAAAATAAGAAATTTTAAATAGTTAGTTTGATACTAATATCAATAACTTTTTTGATATATCATCATATTTAGATTTTATTTAAAAATAAAAAACATTATCGTTTTCTCAAAACCATATAAAACCGTATTATAACATCAATTGAGACAAAAAAACGAGACATTAAAATCAAGATATATCTCGCTACATTGTGTGAGTACCCTTCTAATATTTATAAATATATTTATATATTACATCATTAATATGTAAAATAAATAATTAAATTAAGTTTTCTAAATTACTTTTTTATCCCTCCTGAGGTTTACCCGATTTTACATTTCATTATGTTATCTTAGAGGAACAAAATGATGATTAATAATAGCTGTTTTTTTTCCATCAGTGTCATTTGCTTATGTTCATTTTGCATCATAACAAACTAACACGAACGAGATTTTCTTAACGAACGAACATAAACACAAAAAAATTTGTTCGTTCACCGTTCATGTTCATTTTTTTGTTCGATTAAGTTAAACAAGCAAACACGAACAAGTCTCCGTTCGTGTTCATTTGGTTTTGACGTAATAAAAGGACAAAATATACAAACATAAGAGATCGAAACAGAGTTAATGAATTTTAAGAACGATATCCGTTGAAAATTACAACGTAAAGTACCGAGACCAAACTTTACTATTTTTTTTTTTGTTTTAAACGGAATTATTATTTTTATTTGATTTGAAAATCCGAGGGGCCACTTACGTAACTTCAAAACTTAAAGGGGTCAAAGTGAAACTTCAATCCTTCGTATGTCAACGATGATTCCGATGAGGAGCGAGACCAAAAGAGTAACTCCGGCAACTTCTCGCTGCCGATCATTTCTTGCTGCCGGTATCTACTGCTGTTGGTGAATGATGAGCGAGATCAAGAGTAATTCATGCACCGAAGGTGAAAGTATGGTACGGATAACTCTCAGAACGATTGGTCCGTCGCCTCCCTCTTCCTTGGATGTTCATTCTCCGATCAGAGTATGATTCTTCTCTCTTTTATTTCATATCATATTTCCTGTACACTTACGACATTAATTGTAAATTTATACTCATTTTGATAAATTAGGTCTGATTTGTTTTCTTGGTTCCGTGACGATATTTCATAGATTTTGATCATAAACGATAGCAAATTGTAATGATGATGCATCATCATGCATAAGAACATCTTTCAAATATATGATAATAGTGTAATTAAGGAACGGATGAGCACCACTATTATTATCTTTGAGTTGGTTATCGATCAAATTTGGTGCCCTTTTCGTTTTAGGTTATTTTTTGTTTGTTTTTTACTTTTGATGTCGAACCTTTTAATCGTTTATCTCAAATTGGTATCAGTTTTATTAGCAATTTAGCAGAAGTTTGTGCTCTTTGTAGTATTTATTATAATGAGAAGTTAACCGTTTGACCTTATGCCTCAATGTTATTTTTGAGGGCTTAATTTTTTGGTACTGTGCAACATTATGAGTTCGATCTCACAATAGAAGTATAGAGAAGCTGTCGGAATGGCTTGAATAACTGCAATTTGTAACTAAGATCTGGGTGGTCAGGGATTTCTAGTCATCAATCTGTTGTGTGAAAGAGATGTCAATCATCCGAAGTCATTATTATTGTTTAATGTAAAGTGCCATGGGGTAAATAAAAGTGATGGCGACTTTTAGTTTCATTGAGGAGCAATGGACATCTTTTGAACACTTTCTCAGTTTCTTGCCCTAACCTGTAAAAAGGTCTACTCAAAGAAGATTATTGGCAAGTATCATATTGTATTGTGTTTCATGTTTTCCTTTTTGGTTGAAATTATGTTTTGGTTGTTGTTTGAGAAAGAATATCAATAGTTTCAGGTTGATATTAAATTGTCAAATTGCATTTGCTGAGTGATGATTGTTAGACAAAATTCTTGAGGGGAACTATTGGAGTTCTATTGTTGGAGAACCAAAGTATTTACTTTCTTTGACTGTATTTTGGTCAATCATGTCAGACCTCTATCTTGAGGGGGAACTTAAGAATAATATCGTATTATTGTTAGATTGGTAGCATGTGTTAATAGTAGCTGTATTTTCATATAAATTGCTCAGTAAGAACCCTAGTCTGGGAAGCACTCATTGTGAGTCTATACTGAATGCACCCTTCTATAATTTGTGATATACTTAGGATCCACAAAGTTCACTCCGTGATACATCACAACCTATATAACCCACAAATCTTTTTGTTTCTAAGTAGGTGATCAGATTTTTGTAAAGAATCACATGAAACAAACTTGTTTACCCTAAAATAAGGTGAAAGCAAATTATTGATCCATCAAATTTCAACATTTAGAGGAAGATTGTTCTTTGGCAGTAGTATCATTTTAAGGAGATTAAAAAACAAGAATTTAGACATGAATATTTTAGCTGATTGATTGACTTCTGCCTTCGCTTATTTATATATCTTATGTGTTCATTTCTTTCTTTCGTCTTAACCTTTCATTTCATTTTATGTTATAATTATCTTTTATGTTAGTTAAAAGTATAAGAAAAGTAAGATAACTTTATGGCTTCATCATGTCTGTGGATAGTTGAACCTCCTTTTTGTTAGTCTGTTCCCGTTTGTTCTCATCGATATATTTGGGAGCAAGTAGATAAATATAAGAAAGTTAGTTATCTTAAATTATGAACATGTAGTAACCCTCTTGTAATATAAGATGAGAAAGGATGTTTGGTAAAACTTTGAGATGGATGCTAACCATTATGAATCTCATTACATACTTTTTCCTTTGAAAAATGTCAATTAGGTGCGTGATTTGAGAAATTTGATTTCTGCGAATGGTCGTTTGCCTCTGGAAAATTTGAGACTTATTCTGCAAGGAAATGTATTGCATGATAGCAAATATGGCGATGATATATCTGTTCACTTCAACAATGGAGGTATCAATTATATTTCACTTTAATAATGTATTGCATGAACTCTTAGGCATAAGTTCATGAAGAGTAAGGATTTGGATTTCCATAAAGTTATGAAAAGGAAAGTACAAGATACTGGGAACTTTATTGAGCTCTAGAACCTCTTTAATTTTTATGTGAAATTGAAATGCTTAATTATTCAAAAAGAGGACAACATATTTTTTCATGATAAGTGGCTACCCTTTATATAGTCCCTATTGTTTTTGTCACAAACAAACATAAGTACCAAATTGAAGCAATTTCAAGTCTACTAAAGCTGCTTTTGGTAGGGTGGAATCATGACCAAGTGGAGGTTCATTTCACTGGAATTTAGAAGTAGTAGCTTGGGTATACATTTGGAATGGAACGATTTACAAATATATCACTTCTTAAAAGTTAAACCATAAACCAACCCATTTTTATCAACTTCTTCAACATCCATCTAGTTCACTACTCATCTACATTCATCCCACTCCCTCAATCAACCCCACCACCAGCACCAACCACTGGTTGACATGATGAGGACAGTGTGAGATAGTGATGGAAATTGCAACTCAACTGGATTGGATGGTGTTAGCTATTATGATTTCGATACAGACTCATTGAGTGTGAGGGTGATCAAACTTGATGCAAGAACTTTGAATTTGCATTATCACTGTTTACTTTGGTTATAAGAATGCTTTCACTTCCGTGGAGAATTGATCTCACTCTTTGGCACACCGCACACCCAACTTCCTTAGTTAACCTGGAAGACTTCCCCTAAGTTTCAATCCTGTTTAGGTTCCTCTTTCCTTATACTCTTATATTTTAGCTTCTTCTCACTCTTATCTTTGAGAGTGTCATCACCCATTTATCTCCTCCTTGTTAGTTCATTTTCTCTTTGGTTATTTGTATGACCAATGACAATACATTTCTATTATGACTATCATGAAGTGACCTGCTAAATTTTTGGAGCACTTCTGGGTGAAAATGATCTAAAGTTCTGTCTCTTTTAGTTTTCTCATATGTTTCTAGTTGATTGCACATCTGTTAGAATCATTTTTAAACTGAGATCATGAACCAACCAGATAAAGTGTTGGCTTACTTCCAGTGAAAATGATCCGGAGTGTTGTTTCTTGTAGTTTCCACAAATGTTTCTAGTTTGGTTGCACGCTTGTTATAATCATTGTAAAATGACATTATGTTGAACCTCATAATAGATCTTTCATAAATGTTCAGTCTTTTCTTAATTGTGTTGGTCGGTATAACTACAGTTTTGAAATTAAAGTAGCACCAAACCAAATTGTGGAGTGTCAAGACGAGAGTCACTGAACCAAATGGATCATTCCTAGTTGTTCACGAGTAACATTAATCTTGGAACTAGAAGTACTTTTGAAATTAAAGTAGCACCACTTAGGCGATTCCAAGCCAATAGTCGTCCCCAAAGTTATCCATCACTCTTTCTTACTTATCTTGCATATTAGTTTCACACAAATAAAAAGTTTAAAAATCAAAGTAAACAACCATTTCCTCACTCAAGTCAAGTACTCAACCATTTCATCCCAGTTTTGGTCATCCCAACTAAACAGTCATTGTCTAGTAAGATATCTCCATATAACACTAGGGTAATTGGTCATGCTATAAGGGTCACAAGCAACATAGCCAAGTTTCAATTTTTCTTCCTGCCAAATTTTTTTCTAATGCATGTTGTGAACCATTTTAGTTTAATATATGTTGCTGCAGTTAATTTTTTTTTAATATTTTCCATGTACAACATCTATATTGTTGGAGAGTCTTGTTTTTTTTTCCAGATACTCTTATAGTTGTTGTTAAACCAAAACCTCCTGCTAAACACGTTCAAAATGGATTGGAGGATGATGAAGAGGAAATGGTAAGAACTGAATGATTTTTTTTTTGCTTTGATAGCATTCTATGATCATTCTTGGCATGACTTTTATTCTTTGTTTTTGCGGCAAAGAGCGCTTACTGTTTTTTTCCCAAAACATAGAAGTTTCAGCTCCCGGAATTAAATAGCGGATGGAAGAGGAGGCTTCTTATCATTCTACATGATAAGTTGAAGATACCTGGTAAGCTTGTGGTCCAAAGAAAATTCAGCCTTTAAGTTACAAATGATGGTTGGTCCTGATTATAAGTTGTTCTTTTCCGTCATTAGATATGCTTCTGATGGCAATCTTCTCTCTCAGTCCGAAGGTGTGGGCTGTAATTATTATGTGGTTTATCTTGGCACCTATTGCACACAGATTGGATGTAGGACCTCTATATGTAAGTAAATCTGCTCTCTCTTTTTTTCCTGTAATATGAGGATTCGTAAATTTCATGTGTTTATATCTCGGGATAGGGGGGGGGGGGGGAGCACCTTTTACTCCTAAGCGGCAGCTCGACCTTCTATAAATGACTTCAGCGTTTTTGGTTGAGATTTTAAAAATGCCGTAACGCGTAACATGCATGCAGATCTTACCTCTGTCCCAAGAGACAAAGAGGTTGTTTCCGAGAAGACCCCCATGCAAAAAAGAATAAGAAACATATATATACACACACACACATACACACACACATATAAAGCACAACTATAGGCCACATATATGCAAACAAAAACGGTTTTTTAGGAGACTTATAAAAGATTGCAAAGAGCCTATCTAGCTAAAAAGCACATAGAACACACAAAAGAAACTCTTTATTTCTAACAAAAGAAATTAGGGGTTGTTCGATATTGACTTAATGAACTGTATGGCATGTATGGCTTATTCGGTAAGCCATGCATGATTGTTCGGCCGTGGCTTATTTGGTCAGCCCATTAGGGAGAGTCTTATCCATTAAGCCAACTATTTTCCCTCAATACCCTTGGAATAAAGAAATACTCTCTTCTCCGTTCTTTTCGTTTCACCATCACCATCACTCCTCTTCCCACTTTGATCCTCTCTCCTCCATGACGATATGTTCAAGGACCTTCTCCATGAAATAGATATGTTCAGGGAATGAAGCTCATCGATCTGATTCTCCCTCCTTCATGAAGCTTGGATTTATCTGAAAGGGAACTCCCGGGTTCTGAAATTTTCTGGATTGATGGGGTTAGGATTTCGCTCTTGTCTCTCAGGCAGGTGCTGGATTTATGGGGCTATGTTCCATGGTTGGTGGAGCATTTGGATTCAAGTAAATACTTCAATTTTTTTAGCAACAATAAGAATCTCGATGCTACGGTTGTACATAGCAAGCTTTTGTGAAAGTAGCAACAATTTCGGGGAATCAAAAACTAATGTTTGTTGCTGTCCGTGTGAAAGATTGTACGTAACAAGCTTTAGTGACATCGTCTAGGTGTGGTAGAGACGAAGACGATGGGGTGGGGAATTCTTAGATTTTTGGTTCCACCTGCTAGTGAAGATAATCTTATCAATCTGCAGTTTTCCAATTTTTGAGGGATTTGATTTATGGGGTTGTTTAAAATAATGATTTCTTTGTCGTTCTTGGTAGCTTTATTGCTCATTAGTTGGGGAATATGTAACGATTTTTTGGGTTCACGTGTTTGATTGAAATCTTGTGGATATTTTGATCATAAGGGGGTTTCGTGTTCAAGAATAGGATGATTTTGGGTGTTGAAGGTTCGATGGAAGTTTTTTATGTTCATGGATGAGCAAAATTAAATTGTTATCTTTAACGAAAACAAATAGGAAGGGAAAATAGTTTATTAATGGAAAAACAACCGAACAACCCCTTACCAACCTTTCTAAAGACTCTCCACCCTTCCCCCAACCCACCCATCCACCCCTCCCAAACTGTTACAAGTTGCTCCCGATTATCAACAAAACTAAGGTGAGATTTGATTATTCACTCATGACCGAATGATTATGAGACACTATGACTTTCAAGAGGCAAATAATTCTCCTAAGAGTTACACCAAATTGATTACAAAACCGATACTTAATTGCTTCCACCCTCCTATTTATACTTCTCCGAACGACCGACTTCCCTCACTTATCGGCTAATTGACTAGCTCACTATTATCCCACTATCTCTACGTGTAACAATACCCACCCCCAGACATCCACTTGTCCTCAAGGTGGAAAGAAAAAATAGAGAAATTGATTCACCCTTCTTCCGTCCAACTCCAACAATTCTACCGTTTTCTGTTTATGGCTATCAACAGATTCATCACTTTTTCAAAAGACTGGAGCTCTGTTTTAAGGTCTTGTATTATATTTTTAATGCCTTAAAAAAGAATGCTTGAAATCAAATAACTCGTATATATCTATTTCCGCTGAAAGGATATCTATGGCTCCTGGATGATCTTTATTCCCAAATGCAACAAACTTTTCCTGGATCATATCTTGCAAGAGACCTTTAGCCTTTTCTTCCGAAACTTCATAAGATGCTGATTCCCTCCTGCATGCGTGACACTTTCAGCCTTTACGATCCACCCTTTCGGATTTGTTCCATTGGACATCGATGCCTCAGGCTTTCTGTCTAAAAATCCTGAAACTTCTCCATAATCAAAATTTATATTGTCTTTTTCTGGTTTTCTCATGCTCAACTCGACATGTTCATCCTCTTTTAAGCTCGTAGTTGTCTTCTTCAGCTATCTTCCTGCAAGCTCGGGAACTGGGTCTGAATGGTATGGGCACCCATCTCCGTTCCAGGGGGAAGGGAAGCTTTAGTTGTGTGATTCCCAATGGCCCGTCTGAGGAGTGAAACGTGGAAAACCGGGTGGATCTTGGCAGAAGCAGGTAATTGAAGTTGGTATGCAACAGATCCAACTTTCTCAATGATGAGAAAAGGACCATAGTAACAAGCTGAAAGCTTCTCGTTAATACGTCTTACCACTGATTGCTGCCGGTGGGGGTAAAGCTTAAGAAATACCCAATCACCAAGCGAGAATTCTACATCACAACGATGTTTGCCAGCGTTGGTCTTCATCTGGGCTTGGGTTTGAGTGAGGTGGTACTTGAGTTGCTTGATGGCTTCATCTCTTTCACTCAGATCGTGAGCCACGACTTAGCAACGAATTTCTCTTGGAACAAACTGGAGGATGGTTGGGGGAGGTCTGCCATAAACAATTTCGAATGTTGTTGTCTTAGTAGACACGTTGTAAGCTGTGTTATGCCAGAATTCGACCCAGGGAAGCCGAAAAGACCAAATTTTGGGTTGTTCGGCAGCAAAACAATGAAGGTATGTTTCCAGACTTTGATTTACAACCTCGATTTGGCCGTCCGTCTCGGGGTGGTAAGCAGAACTGAATTTGACGTAACTGGCCTGAAGGGAGTAGATTTCTTGCCAAAATTTGCTTTAAGAAATGAGGGTCGCGGTCACTGAGAAGTGACTTTGGAATACCGTGAAGATGGATAACTTCCCGTAAGAAGGTCTCAACGAGTGAACGAGCTGAAATTGGGTGTTTAAGGGGATGAAGTGGCAAGACTTTGAAAAAGCGATCAAGAACAACTAAGACGACCTCGAATCTCTCAGATTTGGGCAGCCCAATTATGAAATCTAGGGAGATGTCCTCCCAAACAGTGATTGAAATTGGGAGGGACTGTAGGAGTCCACTGGGTGCGAGAGTAGAGGATTTGTATCGCTGACAAGTATCACACGCTTGTACATACGTTTTTGTAGTCGTAGTCATCCCTAAACAACAAAATTTGTGAAGCCAGACATCTGTAAGTGCAATAAAATCCCGAATGACCGCCGCTTGGGCTATCATGAAGTTCAACAATTAGTTTTGGAATCAATTGGGAAGATGCTGAAATGACAAGCTTTCGCTTATGATAGAGTTTGCCATTGGACAAGGAATATCCCGGGTGGGAATGGGGCTGGTTGTAAGATCGAGGACAATTTTCTGAAGCTGTTGATCAGAATTAAAAACGTCGAGTAAGGAAGCTCCCTCCAACCAACTAAAAGTAAGACACTAAAGTAGGCAATTCACTCCCTTCCGTTACTCGGGATAAAGCATCAGAGGTGCCGTTGTCTTTACCCGGCTTATAACGGATGGATAATTGATGCCCCAAGAGTCTGTCAATCCAATTTTGCTGATCGGTGGTTGTTATCCGCTGCTCCAGTAAGTGTCAGACTTTTCTGATCAGAAAAAAAGGGTAAAATCCCGTCCAAGAAGGTAAGGCCATCGGTGTTGAATTGCGAGGACACGAACCATAATCTCCCTCTCATAGGCCGACTTATTGAGATTTTGATTGGATAAAGCCTTGCTGAAATAAGCAGTTGGCCTCTTGTTCTGCATAAGAACAACTCCCAGATCATGACCAGATGCATTGCATTTTGATTTCAAGTGGATGTGAGAAATAGGGAAGTGCAAGGGCTGGGGCGGTGATCATAAATTGTTTTAGTTCTTCGTAAATTGATTGTGCTGTTGGACCCAATGGAACCCATCTTTCTTTGTTAGGTCAGTTAGTGGTCTAGCGAACTTCCATATCTTTGATAAATTTTCGATTAGCCAGTAAGGCCGAGAAACCCTCTAACAGCTTTGGTCTTTTTTGGGACCAGCCAACCTTGACCAGCCAAATCTTGGAGGGATCCATGGAAACTATCTTGCCATTCATAATTTATGCCTGAGGCTGAGGTATTCTACCGACTGTCGGCTGAAACTACTCTTTTTTTGATTGACCCCTAACTGATTTGGAGAAGACCAAGGACTTGTGTTAAAAGCTGCAAGTGTCGTTCCCAAGGTTGACAGTAAATTCGGATATCATCGAAGAAAACGACTACCACCTTGCGTAATAATGGTCGATAGACCTTGTTCCTCTTAGTGCTTGAAATGTGGCAAGGGCGTTGGTCGGCCCGAAGGGCATGACCAGAACTCATAATGCCCATTGTGAGTAAGAAATGTCGTCTTTTCGGTGTCTGACTTATGAACCATGTAATGCATCTATGATTGGGATTGGATATTTATGGTGACTCGATTGAGGGCCCGATGATGGATATAGAGTCGCTAAGTGGAGTCTTTCTTTTTTTACAAGTTTTACGGGGCTTGAGTAAGCGCTCTAGTTGACTTTTATGATTCCTGTCTCGAGCATTTCAAGGACTTGCCATTGAATTTCTTCGTTATGTAATGGGGATATTGGTAGGGACGAAAGCAAATTGGTCCTGGATCCTCCCGGAGATTGATGGCGTGTTCAATGCATCTAGCTGGTGGTAGGCCCTGGGGTGGCTGGAAAGGGAGGTGAACCAGAGAGCTGGTGTGCCTTTTGTTTCAACTACTAGAGGTTGTAGATGCCCTTCCAACCATGTTTGGAGCGAAGAAGGGCTGTTCAGCAAGGTAGAGACCCCTCGTAATTGGATGAGAGGACCATGGTCCCAAAAACGCATATGTTGAGTTTGCCAATTAAAGACAACATCACCCAAAGTACCCACAGGCTATACCGAGGATCATATCCGACAATCCTAGATCGTAAACCAAGGCATAGACAACACATGTAGAGGTACCAAGTTGTGTTGATACACCTTGGCAAAACTCAGAAATTCGAACTTGTACTGTCGCCTAAGCTGATTGAGAGAGGGTTCACTGTTTAGACTCCCAGCCCAAAAGTGTTAGCAATTGCTTAGAGAGGAAATTGTGTGTCGCTTCACTGTCAACCAAGATTAAAGCAGGAATGCCCCGTAACTCCCGTCAATTTGAGCGTCTTTAAAGGTTGAGACGGACCAGAAGCAAGTTCGTAGAGTTTGAGCGTATTGCATTCTCCATCTGCTCCTGGTTCGTCGGTTTTTCACTCCAATGGAGACCCCTCAGCCTCGTCATCATAACAGGGCCGTTTGTCCTGGTATTTTAGGTAGCCTATCGTCATCTTCTAGATGGACTTGGGTAGTTCGCTGATAATTTCCTTCATAGAATTTCCTTCATGGACTTGGGTAGTTCGCTGATATGGACTTGACTGTGGAGGGATTTGATCTTCTCATCTTGGGCATCAACTCTCGTTTGAAGAAGGGTGCTCACATGAGGTCTGGGTATCACCATCGTTTCCCGGCAATTTAACCAAATTGATAGAAATTGAAACAGAGAATATCAATAATGCAATCTGAATCAAGGGAACTAAGCTATCAATTAGAATTCATATGATTGTATAAACCAAAATCAGAAGGATAACCAAAGGATTGGTAAACCCTCTTGCCCAAGCTACTGGTAGCCAATTCTCTCAACAGAAAGTATTTTCTCCCATGCCTTGCAACAAAACCCACCATTCTTATTTATAGTCTTCTCTCACTACTAGAGCTAGAGCTACATAACCAACTTGATTTATTAAATCCCTACACATGTCCCTTACTCCTCCTGCGATAATAAACCTTCTAAGGATTGGGCTAATAGGGCTGATCTATTAATGTTAGCCCATTGGACTGATCGATGGCTCTGTTGCTATCACCTACAAACGTGCCCAAACCACCTTAGTCATCTCTCTCTCAACTTATCTATGATAGGCGCCACTCCTAGGTCCGCCCGAAAACCTTGTTCGGTATTAGGTCCAACATAGTCTGCTCATGACTCCTCTCAGCATCCCGATTCCTCTGTTCATCTTTTTTTCATGTGCTTTCTTCACCGCCCATCATTATGATCCATACAACATAGCCAGTTTAATGCCCACCTTGTAGAATTTGCCAATTATTTGTAAAGGGGCCTTCTTGTCACACAAAAATCCTATGGTCCCCCTCCATTTTAGCCAAATGCCTTGATGCGATGTGCAAAGTCCTCCTCAATCGCTCCCTCCGGAATTATAGATCCCAAATACTTGAAACTGTCCTTTTCGTGGTCATCTTTGCTCCCAAATGCTGACTTATACCCCCTATTTGTTCTTCTTGCCGCTGAGATTGCACCACAGATATTCCGTCTTTGCTTTTTGGATCGATGATGAGCATAATGTTCCTCTTTCCTTTTTTTGTACTTTTAGTTGTTATTTTAGTATCTGAACCCACACATTGATGCTCCTTTTTCTACCTGATCTCTATTGAATTATAATTTACATAGGAGTTATATATTTTAGGAAGTACAAGCCTACTATGTTTGGTTTCCACTTGCGTATTATGTAGTAACTGAAAGGGTAAGATGGACAGCCTAATATGAATCTTAATAGCACACTTACCAAAAACTCCGGAGCTGGACTTAGACATACAGGTCATCACCGCAAAGAGTTGTTAACGCATTTATAACTTGCAAGCTAAATAAAAAAGCCTGACTTACATCAATCACGTTGGCATTTGTATGCTAATGATACTTCAAGCTAGAATGCTTTACATACTTCATCTCCAGAATGCTTTACATACTTCATCGGGAGATTTACTTGTAGTGTGTCCCTCATTGCTTTTCTTTTTTATTCCCGCATATGTAGATACTTGGAACCGGTTTTGCCATCATATTTCTGAATCTTGGGCAACGGCAGCATGGTGATATGAGGTATGTGTCATGTACATGAATCAGGCATTATAAATACTAAGTGTGCAAATATTGTATTTTCCCTCGTTTGGTTGAGACTTCATTCAGTGCTGTTTGTTCCACTATAGATTCTTGATCCTGGTTTTGGGTATATGACATCTGATAAGAGTTCTTCTCGACCCAGGACTAGGATAGTAGATTTAAGGTAGAAATTTGTAGTTAGTATTAACAGGAGAAGGGCGTTAGATAGGGGTGAGGGTAGAACCTTTTTGCTCACATTTTTGCACAGGCCACTCTGCCATTTGGGGTAGAGGTCAGGGTCTGCAGACATCCCACTTTGGTTTGAAGTAGGATATACTGAGTTATTTTGGTTCGGTTTATAGATCCTTGATCCCAACAAGTAATGATATCGAATGGTAACTTTGTGGTTGGCTGTCATAAACTCGTAGTTGTATCGAATAATCTAACACTCCTCTCGCAGCTAGTGTAATCATTATCGTTTTTGTTGAACATCTTCAGTGCTTATTCCATCTTCAACGAAGATTTCAGAGAACTCCCTGGGACCTTTAATGCAGAACGAGCTGATAGAGACATCCGAGCAGGTCAGTTTTGATCTGCTGTCATTTCCAAAACAGATGTTTTTGTTGTATCATACTTGTGTATAAAAGATCTACACATAGTTACTCGAAAAACTCAGAAGATGATGCTCGAAAAATATCTTTTTTTTTTGCATCGATTTGTTTCTTCGTTTACTTGTGCACAGCACCTTACCTTGTAGAATAAATTAAATGGCTGTTTGGTCCCAAGGTTTTTGGTTAGAATTCTGCTCTTCCAGACTGACTCAAAGTCATTTTCAAGAATGTTGTAGTCCCAGTAAACTTTGGAGGGCTTAGGCCATGTTTGGCAATCAAAAATTAGCTTATTCAGTAAGCTTATTAAGATGGGAAACGTCTAAGAAAATCCAATGAACTTTAGTGTTTAGAGTGATTAAATCCTGGGACCATTTTTTGGAGCAAGTAAGTCCTTGGACATTTCAAAACCTGTTTAATAAATCATTGGACTGTTAGAAACCTGTTAAATACATCCTTATGGAGGAATAAATTCTTATATTACACATCTTTTGTACCTAGACCATATATACATACACACAATAACTGTGTACCTGTGTAATGTGGCGAGATATAAAAGTTTTGTCAAGATTTATTCAATGTCAAAATCTCAAATTCTTTCAAGATGTCATAATACTTACATTTGTATTTATGTTCGATTTAAATATCTGTCCTTAAGATTTACTACACATATCACTAACCAGCCTTCCCGTAGTAACATATCAAATTCGGCTACGCTTTCTCATCCAGAGCCATACCCTTTCCTCGAACAGTGTTGAACATCTCTATAGCTTTATCTAGATCTCATCCAGAGCCATACCCTTTCCTCGAATAGTGTTGAACATCTCTCTAGCTTTATCTAGATCTGGACTACGTCCATGCGCACTGCATGAATCAACAGGTTTATCATAAGAAAAGAGCAGTGAACTATTTTCCTTGCTTATGTTTTCGTAATTGTGATAAATTTAGTCAAACCCAATCGTGAAAGAATATATTATGTTTAAATTGATGGAGCAGCGTCATTTGTAAGCTCAAAATAGATATTAGAGAAGGACATGAGATCCCAAGAAAAACCCAATATATAAAAAGTTTAAGATGGCAGATAAACTATCTAAACTGATTTACAATATCCACAAGTCTTGATATCATTGACCATTACTAACATGATGATGATGCTAACATATACAATTTAAGTGTAATAACTCCTCTTCATGAAAAACATGGTCTCACACGACTTTGACCGTTGCTAACATCGTGCTTCTTGTGTGTATAAAATCTGACTATGTCCTTGTTCCTGATGTTGATTGTATCTGCCTTACTTTCTGTATAAATTAACTTAAAAGTTAAAATGATAGGAACAAAAGAACCATGCCCCCAACAATGGTGACATGTATGTGGAGGAGGAGTCAACACATTGGCTGGCATGGGGCTTCTCACGGTAGTTTATGCAATTAATTGTCATGACTTGAGAAATCATCAAATATATATATATATATATATATAAATAAATAAATAAATAAATATATATATATATATATATATATATATATATATGATTAGTTATTGAGAATGTGTACTAATTAGCAGGCTTAACCGAAAGTAAAAGAGGTAAGACTTTGTGGTTGTAGTTAGTGGTGCTCAAAAAACTAACCAAATCCGATCAACCCGATCTAACCCAACGCAAAATAACTCAATCCGAAGCAACCCGATGTCTAATCGAATTGTAAAATTTTCAAACCATAAGTATTGGGTTGATATTGTGTTACTATTATTTGAACCCAACCCA